TAGCTCCTCGCCCTGGGCTCTCGCCATGGACACTATGAAAACCACCTACATCGTGCTGGAACTGATCATCGCCGTGCTGTCGATCGCTGGCAATGTCCTGGTCTGCTGGGCCGTGGCCATCAACAGTACCTTGAAGAACGCAACCAACTATTTCCTGGTGTCCCTGGCGGTGGCTGATATCGCCGTGGGTTTGTTAGCCATCCCTTTCGCCATCACCATCAGCATCGGATTCCACGTGGATTTTCACAGCTGCCTCTTCTTCGCCTGCTTTGTGCTGGTGCTGACCCAAAGCTCCATTTTCAGCTTGCTGGCGGTGGCCATCGACAGGTACCTGGCCATTAAGATCCCACTGAGGTAAGAGTGGACGCAGGCAGCCAGACTGTGACCGTCCTTGTCTTAGTGTGCAGGAACTCCTAGTCTCTGGTGTTGCCCTAAGAGGTTTGTCGCTCACAGGTGATGATGAAAATAACAGAGATTTTGCACTCGCTGCAGGACTGGGATCAGGTTTTCAGTATCCTGCCTCTGACTTCAACATATAGCTTGGAGCTCAGTTTCTTGAGGATGTTTGTCTTGGGAGGGTCAGTGGCTTCTTGGGGGGCTATGCAGTGATGTGGTGTGTGCTTGGGATAGTTGTAGCTAATCTATGTAGGTATTTACACAGCTCCCATGATTGTGGTGTCTGGGCATCTCCCATTTTTCACCCGCTCTTTCTCCTACATCCCAGCCTATTGGAGAAGTAGTTGTGCAGGCTGTTCTGTAAGAGCTCTTGTCTCTTCCTGAGCTCAGGACACAAGACTTTCAGAAAGGCTGAAAGTCGTCTTAAATAGATCTTGATATGACTTTGTACACACCTCACCTTTTCAGCTAGGACTAGAGTCTAACTAGTCTGTCTTCCAGTTTTTAGAGGGGTATAAGGAAAGGACTGAAAGCACGATTTGTGGCACCTACAAACACTGAAACAGTATTTCTGTGCTTGTATATGTACCTTTTCCTCCCGAGCGCTTACCATGAGTGAGTGTATAGATCAGCAAATGTCAGAAGGTGTCAGGTCTGTGCATACGCTGTAAAAGGAGAAGAGGGAAGGAGAAAGGATTCATACCTCAGTTTTCAGAATGTTACAGTTTAAACTTTCATCCAAGGGCAGGATCAAAGACATAAATTGGTTTCCTTCTAATTCACGGGATATTGCAAAATACTGGGGAAAAACGTATTGAATATATTTCACAGGCACTTCACCAGTGAGTTGGTGCAGCAGCTTCCTTAAGCTTAAGTGCACAAAACCCCCGGCTTTGCATTACCAATGACCCGAGTCCGTTAGTCGCGGTCTCCTTCATGTCTCTGTTGTCCCTCCCTAAGAAAAAGACGTCGACGAAGCCCCACTGGGGAGTCCAGGACTGGTCAGAAGTGGAGGCTGTGGGGAAGCTGGGCAGGTTTGGTGTAGGGACCTCAGCTGAACTGTGTAAGCTGCAGCTTTCCTAGATTCTGCTTGTCTCTGGTATGTCCCTTGTGCAAGTGATGAATTCACCCTAAAATAACTTAAAAAAACCCCTTCACGCTAGTCTGGCACCTTGCATCGGAGAACCCCTATACATTGGGCAAATATTAATTAGTCATCAGGCAGATGATAAAAACTGAGAGTGGAAATGCATGTATGCTGAGTGGCTGCGTGTGTCATCGGAGCACGGAGCGTGGAAATTCCACAGGATGTAAAGTAAGCGAGAGCCGAGCTGCAGCCCTGGTCTGTAGAGGAGGGAGCTGGGGCAGAGCTGTTAAGGTTGCTGCCAGCATCTCTGACACGGGCTCCTCACCTCCCCAGCCGCCCGGCTGGACTCAGGGACGCACGTTGGCTCCGGGTGATGCTTTGGTGCCTTTTCCTTTCGTTCGTTTGGGGCTTTCTTGGGATGGGGGCTAGCCGCACGGCAGCGGCTATGGAAGCAGGTCAGATTTTTTAAGTTTCAGATTTTTTAAGTTTCAGTTTAATCACACCCCCCATACAAGCAAGCTGTTGAAGCATGGGCTGTTAATTATAACTCTTTTGCTTTGTACCACAAGTGCTTTTTGCAGTGCTTGGCTGAGGAAGTTGAACCTTGTGAGATCGGTTTCTGCTCTGCTTGGAATCCGAGACGAGAGTAGCGGATCAGAAAGGCTCTGAGGGGATCCTTTCAATGTTTGCAGAGGGGAAGTGGTTTTTGCCAACTGACAAAATAGCAAGTATTTCCTCCACTCTCCTTTTTTCACAATCCTGGTCTCCAGCAGGTTGCTCGACTCTCCATCAGGTCAGTCTATACACCTGTGTGGGATGAAATCCTGGGGCAGTTTTGCCTTGCTTTGTGATCCTTTCCCAACATGGCTTTTTCACCCCATCTTAGGCCAAATCTTTCATTCCATTTGCACGAACAGCTTTATTCCTATGAGTGCTTCCTAGCTGGACACGTACAGCCCCTTCAGCTGTAAACGGAGATCAAGGAGTCCCGTCCTAGGCTGGTCTGAAGTGTGAAGTTTGGATTAAACTTGGTCTTGGCATTGAGACCCATTTCATTGCTCTCAGAGGTGACCAGTGAGTAAAACCCCTTTAAAAGGACGGGGGGTTGTCGCTGCTAGGAGTGCAGGGCAATGGACAGGTCATTGCTTCAGCAACGGGAGATTTAGGGACTGGTACTGAAAGGCTGTTTTTATTTGTACAGCCAACACCAAAGAGGATAGAAGAGGTTATAAAACTACGCTGGCAAAACACTTCTCTACTGCGCTAGGGTTTTCCAACCAAGGCTCAGTTAGAGCTGCCTCGTCAGCATCGTTATTCCCGAGATGCTCCCCAGTGCTGCCGGCAGCGAGGGGCGAGGAACTTGTCCAGCCACCTGCCCTAGGTAGATGCACACGCCGTTTCTGGAAGGAGGGTTGCGCTGCGGAAAGGGAAAGCTGGTCATTAATTTGTAGGAATGGCGACCTTAGGAAAAGTTTCTTTCTCACTAAAGCACTCGTTCTGGAGATCGGTGCAGAGGCTGATAACAGGCCATGAAGTATTAAACGTTTAAGGAAATTATTTGTACCCAGCCCTATCCAGCAATTACAATAATTAACGCGGTTGTTGCAGAGCAGACAAGTGTCCTGTCGCATCCACCAGCTCCCTGTGGAAACCTCTGCAGGGACACTGAGAACTGAGTGTGCCATATTATTTAATGTTATTCCAGGGCTATTTAAGCACACTGAGAGGCTGGGCAGGCCTGCAGGCTGGGGGTGCGCAGGAGAAGTTTGCATTACAGCCAGGCTAATAATGGATTTTTCAGTTCTGTGGCTGAACCAAAAAAATCCCATGGGGAAGAGGAAAATTGTTTCAGTCAAACTGAAACAGCAATGTTTGGAGGTTTCAGTGAAACAAAGTGATCCTGACCAACCTGGCAGATTTTTGTTTGAGTTGCTTAACCCTTCCAATGTTGCTGTGTTGCTTTTTGAAATGGAAGCATCCTCGCTGGAAAGGCACTAACAAATTCTCATCTAGACAACTGCAGAACAAAAGTCTTATAACATTTTAAAATGGTGTTTTAGAACCCTCCCTCTTCTGGCTAAAAATATTTGCTGAATTTGACGTGAAGCCATGAATTCTTTCTGTCCCTTGAAACTCTTTGTTTGTTTGTTTTTGACAAATTTACTGTTTGCGGAGGAGCCCCCACCCACGCTGCCCACTTCGTGCAGCTGCAGCTCTGAGCCCCTTCCCGGGTCCCTTCTCCCCTGGCCAGCGCACCAGGACGCAGCTTCTTGTCTTCAGCGACGCTCTGACCCTGCCTTGCGTCCCGCACCCCTCCTGCACCCCGGGGCTCCCCAGCAGGCTGCTGCCCGTCCCTGAGCCGTCCCCGGTACACGGCACCGTCCCTGCTTTCGTCTGCCAAGCTGACACCCCCCGACCCCCCAAAGCTCGCTCCCCTGCAGCGCTTCCTCCAAGCAGAATATCAAAGCCAGGCAATTGAGCATCTTTCAGCAGCAGTAAATCCATCCTGCAGAGCGTTTGGCACCAGAGCGGTGCTCGGCTTTCGCTCTCTGGCTTTCTCCAGGGCTGGATTTCACCCCCAGTCCCATAGCTGCGAGCCAAAGAAGATTTGTAGGTGGAATAAAATTTTTCCCTTTTATTTGCATTAACCAAAATCCTTTGGCGTGGCTAAAAATTGTAGGTACGGATAGATGCCTGGAACAAATGTGTCAGGAATTAGAGAGGGAGAAGAATATCTGTATTTAGACAGCAAAAGGAGAATGAAACGCTGCCCGGTATCACGCTACACGTGCCCTTGTCCGGCTGGTAATCTCCTGCAGGACGGTGAACGTTGTACGGCTGCTGCCTACCTGGCAAATACCCCAGCTGAGACCTGCGGAGGGAAAATTAACCCCAGCTCCCTGCGATTTGAGCTGATCTGGTGCTTGTTCTTCCTCCCTGGATTTAGTTCTCTCCTGTCTTCAATTTTATCCCTAGCAGAAGTGCAGGACTGATGCTCCTCGGCAGCTTTGCCATGAACTGGAGCAGGGTATCCATGGCCGTTCCCTCTCCCTTTCTGCACCTTGCCGAGCCCCCGCTGCCGCCCCGCAGCCAGAGCACCCGCGTTGGATCACGACCTGGTAACGGTCTTGCACTGCTCTGCTGCTGGTGCTGCCAGGCTCCCACATGAGCTGCTGCCCCTCTTATCTCTGACATGATGAAGGAAACGGTCTAGCTCATTTCTGCTCTCCTCATGGGGACAAATTCCATTTGGGTTGTCGTTGCTTTTATCTGATCCTTTTAGCTGTGCAGTGTCCTTTCACGAGGTGGGTTGGCTGATGCTTTACGGCTGCCTGCCCTCGTTGCTGCTGCAGAGGAGGGGGTTCCCTGCCTGTTCTGCAGCAAAGAATTGTTCCTGAATTCCTCTCAACTCCAAGTTTGTTCCTCAGCAAAGCAAACTGGTGGGTATTTATGGCAGGTGGGAGGGCTGGAGCCACTAGGGAGGAGAGAAAATCCTCTTCAGAGCCTTGGTCTTCCCCTACCATTTTCTGTGTGCCACCAACGACGGAGAATTGCAGCTGCTCTTCTCCTTCTGCCCTTGCTTCATTTCCTCTCTGAAAGGAAATCCTTGCACTGCCCTTCAGCTGGACTCCCAGGCGTGTTCTGCTGTTCATGTGTGGCTCACACGCATGGTGCCTGATCCCGAGACCCCAGCAGCCCGGGAGGCATCGTTATTCCAGAGCAGTGGATGCTCTGCCTCCCCGTCCGTCAGACGGCTGTGCCCGGCCAAGGTTACCATCAATTAATAAACTTAATGTGCATCGAACCTGGCAAACGTGCTGCGGGCTGGCGTGTTTGCTTGAGCAGCGGAGCTGTCACGACTTTAGGGATG